CCCCAAGCCCTCTCCCATTGAGTCCTGTAGGTGACTGGTGGGCAGGGAAGTCTTTCATCAGGATCATTAAAAGCAGAGCACAGTTGCTCTTTGTGTTAAGTTGCTGAGAGCAGAAGTTCTGCTTAAAACAGCCGGTCCTTATGCATTCAACAGCTGAACCTCTGCTGGACATGAATTTGGCTCCTGATCCTTCTTTGGAGTCAGGCTGTGGTTTCTGATCCTGATCTGCTCTGGAAGCTTCTATATGAGGTGTCCTGGTTTCTAGTGGCAGAACTTTTGCAGTTTGGTGCTGAGGAGTTCCAAACAGGCACAACAGGAGGTAATGACAAATAAACAACCAAGTTTGCTATCTAGGAACAGCAGACTCCACCAAATAGTTCTTTTTCAGGGTTTTTTTTTCAAAGCTAAGCAGAACTGTAGGCACCTCAAAGATTAGCTGAATGTTATCAGTAAGTTCAAATAGTTTGTTGGTGCTAAATATTTAGAATTACAGTTGTTATCAGATTTGATAGGGGAAAGATAGGTTTGAAAATTGTATTTCTAAGTGATGTATCTTCATAGGCAGAGAAAATTAGGGGAAAACAACTTCAGAAGCAAAGATAATGATAATTGTGAACAGTTGTCACTGTGTTATCGGAAAGAGGTGTCCTTTCCAGACATGCTGCGCTCAAGATAATCTTTGAAAAACTCAAGTACTGCTGCCTAGGTAGCATAAACAATCACATTTTTAATTACTACAGCAAGCATAGTAATTAAATTTTAGAAATGTGTTTAATCTCATTTTTCTGAATGAAGCATAGAAGGGTCTTGGGGCATAATTTTTTCAAATTTGGATAATTCTGAAACTAAAATAGCACCTTTCTAAAAAAAAAAAAAAAAGAAGTAGCAAATCACAGCAATTCAGTTGCTTTGAACTGAGCAGGGTAATAATCTTGTAGGTCTGGGGACCTTGTATCCCTCAGTCAAGTCTGATTGTAATTGATTCACATATTGAAAAAGATTTTGGTAGCTAGAGAAATGCCAAGTGAAGTTATATGGAGGAAAAAAAAAAACCAACAAAAAACCAACCAACCAAACAAAAAAACACATTTTCAATGTTCACAGCTATCAGAGTTGCTCACTATTTGTGCTTCAAAGGTATGTGACATATTTGTCCTTCAGGCAAAGTGACAAGAGTATTAGATGTGGGTTCTTGTGACCAGGTTCATATCAAAGGCAGTAGTGGGCTACCTGGACCTTTGGTTCTTGTGCCCTTGTGACCTTTTTTCTTTTATTTTCTTTGGAATTAAGTCTATTCTTTTAATTTCTTTGATCTTCAGTTTCACTGTTAGTGAAATTGAGATAACGCAATTTAGCTGACTTTAAGAGAAGTGAGAAGAGGGATGTATGGATTCTTAGTACTTAGTATTTTATGTATGGATTCTTAGCTACAAGTATTTTAAGATTTCAGTTTTTCCCATTCCCCAAGAAAAAAAGACTTCCTATATTAATTTGTTATGATTCATAGCAAAATTTCCAGCCTGTAACTGCACAGTATCAATAAATCATAAACTAGGTAATTCTTATAATTCTTTGTAGAGGCTTCTAAACTCATGTTTACCTGAAGAATGGTAAGCTCATTCTGCAATGTAAGAGCTGTATTTATATAGTCATTTTTACAAAACAAACAAAATAAATAAATTTTAAAAAAGGAAACTTTTACTGATTGGCTACAACTTTGACAAATAGTATTTAAATCTTTAGTCTTAGCTTTCCAGTTATTCCTCTTTCCAGTGTAGATTTCCATAAAAATAATAAGCCCTGTTGTCGTTGCTATGCCTCCTGTCATCTCCTGCTTGGTCAAGTGTGGGTTCATCAAGGTTTTTGTATCGTTGATATGTAAGTGCTGTAGCACTGTGGTAGCTTCTGTCAGACAATGCAGCTGTCTTGAACTCCCACATATAAAAATGAAAAAAAACCCCAAAGCTATAGCCCTTTGAAGAACTCTTATAAAATGTGTTCCTAATTAGATACATAGAATAGAGAATACCAGAGGGATTTGTTCACTGTCACAGACCTTCAGAACTGAATTTCCACAACAGTTTGCTGAAGCACATAGACAACAAGAGGCATGTATAACTGCATGCGATCCAGAGATAAGACATGCTAGATCTGAAGCGTCTGAAATAAGAAGCAGTGGGAAGCAGAAGCATCCTTGTATTTCAAGACAATTATACTCGGTGTTTACCTGCAGAATTCAGGCAGCAAACGTAAAATATTTCAAAAGGAAGCAGGTTAAAACATACATTTAAAAGGCATTTTAAAACCTTAAGCACAGTCCAATAGGGGCAGATGCTTCTTATAAAAGTGTATCTAAAAATTAGATGACTGCCATTTTTTTGCTTATAGACTAGGCAGTGGAAAAGAGAAGTTTCATTTACTCATGTAAGCATAAGGCTCTCTGCTGTGATGAGCAACTCCAAAGTGCCTTGAAATGTTCTGCTGGATGTGTTGTGTGCAGGGAGCTTTTTAATCAGCTGTTGCTCACATGCAGTGTAACAAGTTGTGCCATGAACAGCTGATCTAACAACACCAAGTTTCCAGTGGCTCTCTTACACATTTTTCCCCTGTTTTATCAGTGTTGACTGATAAAAGATGATCTTACAAGCCTTTCTTTGAATGAGGATGTAATAGAGTATCTCTTCCTATTTCTAGCCCTATTTTCCTGAAGCTTTTGTGAAAAAAAAATCTTTACGTTTTCAGGTCTTTTGTCTAGTTTGCTTAAAATTGTTCAGGGGCAAAGAAGTTCTTTCAAGGGAACAGACATTGCACATGGATGTTACTTGCTTAAGTCTCACTTCTTTGGGAAACATGTATAAATGCAGTATTTAGAATTTTCAACATAAGAAATCCAATTATCATCATGTGTCAGAGTGAATACTTGTATTAACACCATCAGATTATCTGTGTACTTGTATATAACATTAAAGTACTAAAATAATTGGCAAAACCTGGCAAGTTAAAATTATGCAAAATTAGAAAGAAAATGCCAAATTAAGGTTAATGAATCTATATTAACGTTTCATTCTTTTGCTTTGGTAGTTATAGCACTCCACATTATATGAAAAGCCACATGTGCCATGTGTAATCTACAGGAAAATAAATGCTCAGTATACTTAATTGTCTCCAAGTTGGGTTTAAAAAACAGAATGTGTTAAGCCCATGTATCTGTTGCTATGTTCCAGTTTTATAAGCAGCCTGTCCTCAAAGAGTAGGTGTGCTTTAGAAAGGCCATGAAATCTCCATCCCTGGAGATAGTCAGACCTCAGATGGAGAGATCACTGCATGACTTGGTCTGTGCTGGTCATGCGTTGAGCTGGTCATGCGTTGAGCAGAGATCGGACTGGGTGGCCCAGAGAGTGCCTCCTGATCTAAATAAATCTACGTTCTCTGACCAGATCTATGGACCAGAAACAGCCATCCTATAAAGCATACGTAATCTGTATGCTTTAAATTGCCTAAAAATACTTCTGTGTAAAACAATTTGAGCCTTTAAAACTATGTTAGCTTCCATTAGGCCAAAACAGTATCATATTTCTTTAAAATCTGTACCTGGTCTACCTAATAGCTAGGCTGGTTAGCAATTACTTAGTTATCGACAAAAATAAGAAATCAAAACAGGCCTAAATTTTACTCATGTTGGGTGTAGTCTCATTTTAGATCTCCTAGCAAAGGACAGAATTTTACTGTTTTCAGAGGATCTAGAAGATTAAGTTGAAAATGGTATGTCAAATCATAGACAATGTGGTGCAAAGCAGTACTCCTGAGAGAAATTAAAGAAGAATCCTACATAGGTTGTTAACGAATTTAGAGACTGAGTTTGCCATTTATGACAAACAATAGTTTGCCATATTTTTTTTGTAAGGGATGGATAGTGTACAGTATAAAATATTGTCTGCTTATTCAGAGGTGATATAGTACAGTGCTGTGCAGAAAAGGGTGTGTCCTGATTTGGAAAAGTAGTTTAAAAATATTTAATTAGTACAGGTTGGAGAAGAGGCAACAAAACACAAAGAGTATGTCTGTAAATACTTGAGAGAAATACATGGGTTGGCGATATAACAGGAGGAAATAGCCCTCAGCTATAACAGGTAGGGAATAGTGTTGTGACTGTTGTATTTCACAGATATACAGTGCCATGAGTCCGTGGAATGAAATTAGGAAACGTGGAATTGAATTGTGAACAACTAGAGGATAGATACAACAGCCATTAGAAAAAAACATTCATAAATCCTAAGGTTTATTAGATGTTGGAATTATTTGTCAAGGGAAGGTCCCAAGCATAAGAGTGACAACAGCAGGTCAAAATTCATTATACAAGATCCTCCAGTGTTATATCAGGGAAATGTAGTTTCTAGTCCTAGTACATGAGGTCTTATGAATACAAAAAAGAAGCAAAGTAGTAGACAGGATAAAAGTAGGTTAGAAAAGATGTACTCCATTTGTCACATCAGATACCTGAATAAGAAATTGGCAGCCACCAAGGAACAGACGTTGCTAAAGCATGAATACTTTTCCTATACACTGTAAAAAAACCCCAACCAAAAACCAAAAAACAAACCAAACAAAAATAATTAGCTACTTAAAATACAGTATGCCCATGAGGGTGTTAAATAATTATTAATCATGCCTTAGAATGCCACAAGATATATTGATAAAGGCAGAATACTGAAAAATAACCTATATATTGAAGTCTCAAATTCAGGTGTTAGATCTATCCACTGTTTTCTCAGATACAGATTTTCTGGTATGACTGAGTACTCACTACATCACTCTGGATTGTGCCTGTGAAAGGGCAGAATTTATTCTTCATTCTCTTTCTTATGCAACATTTTTGTTCGTATGCACCATATATATGGTCTGGTTTTTTGTCTTGGATTGAACTAATAGCTTAATGTACTATGTTTAGCTCAGCTGATAATGAAATTATTAATGTACTATTTCTGTCTTCCTCACTGCAGTATGCTGTCTGGCTGGTCCTTTGGATTACATGGAACGTGTTTGTTATCTGCTTCTATTTGGAGGCTGGGGACCTTTCAAAGGTATTTTACCATTGCATACATTTAAGCCATCAACACTTTGTTAACATGCCCCATTCAAAAGGCTGTGTTCTGTTTTACTCATCCTCTTAGTTTTAATAGAATGAAGGTAGAATGATGGAGATTTGGAGTATTTTGGGTATATTAGAAACTTTTAATCTAGACAGTAATGAGCACATACTTTCTGGTGCCTGCAACAATAACAGTATATATTTTTTAAAAGAAAATTACCTCTTCCTGCCGTCTCAGTAATTTTGCAATGCAAATTTCACCTCTATCAGAGACATCCCTTAGTGATTTTATTTTATTTTTTCTTAGTGATTCCTTTGTGATTGAATACAAAAGATTACCCTCTGAAGGGTAAAAAATATTTTTGTACCATTTAGCTTGCTGTTAAATGGTACTTACCTGGATTCCTCTTAGGTGTCTTATACCATACATAGTAATTGTAAAGCAAGGTGTCTTTCATTAAATTAAAATGTAAACTGAGGTGCCAGAATAAATTGCCATTTGGATACAGCAGAGGTTTTTAACTTTGTTCTTCTGGTAAGAATGTTATGATTGAACACTTGTACACAATAAAAACCCATAGGAAAAAATATGTTTTCCTAAGAATGATGTATTTGTGGTGTTTTATTGACACTGTGAGAACACATGAAGTGGCAGTTGGTAATGGGCTCAAACCAGCATCTCAAACCAAAATTCTTACTTTCTGAGGTGATCCTGGAAGGCTGGCAATTTGTGGGATAAATGATTAGCAATGGTAACAAATTATTTTGTTAAAGTATACGCTTCAGCTGAGTCTAAATATTGCTCTCTATGCTGAGTTATGCTCACAATGGTGTGAACTGACAATCAAGGCGAATCCCATATGTCAGATTCTCTTTTTGACTTGGAGATTTAATTGCTGTTTCTGCTTAAAGGGAGTTTGGCCCAACTATAAATTGCAGATGTAATTCTCTGATCCTTTGTGAGTTACTGACATGTTATGACGCAGAAAATTGAACACAATTACAGGAAGAATAAGTGAGGCAAAGATACTTCCTTACCCCTATTTTCTCTTAAATCACCCCCAAAGTACAAAAAATACTAAACTTGGATATTTCATCCCCATGTATTCTGTTTCTTCAGAAGATGATGACTTCAAAAGGATCAGAGTTTCATTTCCTGAGGTTGTGAAGCAATTTTCTGCTGGTAAAACATTACACTTGCTGGGTTTTATATCTTGAGACAGAACCAATATCATTAAAAGATTGGCAAAAACAGTAAATAAAGGACTTGCATGGTATCTTTTATTTGGCTAAAATGCTTTCTGTACTGCTAAGTGAACTAATATTTAAACCTGGCACCTGTTGTACAATTATACTCAACCCAATCTATTCATCTTTTCACCTGCTTGTTTCAGGCATCTGTATCTGTAAAAGTGTAAATGTTGGGAAGCTTATCATGTCTGGGGAAGTGAAATGGGGTGGGAAGGGAGAAAGGAGAAGCAACTATTTGAGCTTTGTGTTTTGATGGGTATAAAAACAGCTTAAGTAAGCACTAGTTGCAATAAAGATGGGCCAAAACCAGTATCTAAGCCTGGAACTAATTTTTTCTGAAGTCTAGGGCTGTGTCATCTAAAGTGTTTCCCAACCACCCATATGTTTCAGCCTTATGTCTGGATGCAGTTAAAATTTTTATTTTTTTTCTTAAGAGATATTATTTGTTGCAGTTATATGATCTGCCTTGAAATACCCAGTAGAGTATATTCCTTCCATTTGAGCTGTTTTTCAGACAACAGCATTGGTAAATTGAGGGAGAAAAGGAAGTTCTTACAAAATGGATTTATAAAATAGCAATGGATAGACTCATTAACTACAAAAGGTCTAATTTGCACATGGGAGATCACCCTCCTCTCCTTTCTCTTTCAACTGTGAATGGTACCTCAAAACTTTGCCACATGATCAAGTCTTCTGCAAGATCTAGGGACTAGAAATTCTATTATAGAAAATCTGTTGGAAAGATACCCAGCTGTTCGGGTGAATGAAACTTACCCTCCTGTTCTAAATCCTTCAGAGGCTCCAACTGCTTTACAGATATAAAGATCCATTTACAAAATGGATCATTTTAAGTTTTATGTCTCCCAGTCACATTCATACATCTGAAGCTGAATCTTCTTTATTATTTATAAATTCATCTGGGAATAACTGCAACTTCAAATCTGTAATGATACTCCTGTGTATTTTGTGTGTGTGTGTTTGGAATGGCTGTCTTTTTTTGAAGAAAGCTCTGAGTCTGAATTGGTTCTAAATAGAGAATAAAAAATAACCTTTGGATAAGTACCAGAGGGATGCCTCTGAGGTTGTAAACCATGAGAGAGGATTGTGTGCAGCATGGCTTTAGGAATTAATAGGTTAAAATTACGGCCTAATAATAGTTCAGCTGGGTATAGTTCATTTTTGTGTGTATTATTTATAACTTTCTACCAAATAAAATGGAAGAGAAGCTTTTGAGGGTTTTTTTAAGTTTTGAGAACAGTTTTTATTCTGTGTATTCATACATCAGGTTTTCCATCCTCATCTTCTGACACAATGGAGAGGACATGTTTTGATAGTTAATACACATTATTACAAAAGGCTTGCTAGTTTCATCCTTTTTTTATTTTAGTTCTGGTTGTGGAGGTCATTACATTTCAGCTTCTCTTTATTACACTGAAACAGGCCTTCAAAGACTCAGAAAATTTTAAAATGAGGTAATCATCTCTGAAGAGACTGAGGAGACTCAAGGATTATTAGTGAACAGCCATGCAAATCTGTTTGCATTATAAACCATTGCAATCATATATATCTTGTGGAAAATGGCATCACACTAAGTATTTTCTGTCCTCGAGGCATGCTTGTCTTTGCTGAAACTCTTTCACAGCAAGCTGGAATATTTATGGCTTTGTAACAAAGAGGAAGTGTAATCACTTGTTCTTAACCTTGTTATGTGGATCTGTGAATGAATGCCTAGAAAACTTCTCAGACTTACTTTTCAGTATTACTTTTAAATAATATTTAATTAGCCTGGGTGTTGTTTTGCTTGCTGGTGTGTGCCCTACTCTATAAATAGGACTTAAGGTTTCAGGAGTGGTAATATTTATTCTGGCCTCTGGATAAACAAATGTAGCATATGAAAATCATAACCTTACGTCTTGAATGAACCCCATCTGGAGTACACTGGTGAAACAAAAGGGGAAACATAATAAAAAGCATCTCTGAGAAAATGTAATATTTCAGTGATTTTTTTAAATATATCAAGAAAAGACCCAAAGAACTACATTCAGCTATGTCAGAAGGGAAAAAAAACAAACAAACAAACAAAAAAAACCAAACAAAAAAGAAAAAAAAGATAACAGTCTGTTTATCATTTTTTAGTTCTTCAGACAAAATTCCCGTTTACTTCTATGGGATTCAGCTGCAACCTCTGAATTAAGAAGGCTGCATGGAGACCTCATAGCAGCCTTCCAGTATCTGAAGGGGGCCTATAGGGATGCTGGGGAGGGAGTCTTTGTTAGGGACTGTAGTGACAGGACAGGGGGTAACGAGTTCAAACTTAAACAGGGGAGCTTTAGATTGGATATAAGGAAGAAACTCTTTCCTGTTAGGGTGGTGAGGCACTGGAATGGGTTGTCCAGGGAGGCTGTGAATGCTCCATCCCTGGCAGTGTTCAAGGCCAGGTTGGACGAGGCCTTGGGTGGCATGGTTTAGTGTGAGGTGTCCCTGCCCATGGCAGGGGGGGTTGGACCTAGATGATCTTAAGGTCCTTTCCAACCATAACTATTCTATGATTCTATTCTAAGACCCTAAGTAGAAAGAGTGCTGCAATTGGTCCTGTAATGAAGAAACAGCACTCTTGCTTCAAGGCATTTAGAAGCTTTTCCTAATGATGTCTAAGGATCCTACAAGCAAAACAGAAGCAGAAGAAGAACAACCAAACTCCCATTTTCAGTTTAAAAATTAATAGATGTTTTTTCACTTCAAAAAATGCATAGTTGAGGTTGCACTGGTCCCATCACAAGAGTGGGAGCATAGAAATGATGCTGCTGTCACTGACTGGAAGTCAAGGTGGAGGCTGGACTTCCAGTGCTGGATGAGTGGGACCAGCTAGGGTCCAAAGCAGCCCTTGCAGTCCCAGCCTGGTGCCAGTACATTTGATTCTCCTTGCATGCAACACTATTTTTGTGACCAGATACCAGAGCTCTCCTCTCACTTTTACCTGGATGATCTCCAGTATCACTTTGCTGTAGTCGATACCGTACTATGTGAATGTGAACAAGAACACACTTTTTGAAAACTCGTTTTAACTGTCAAAATTGAGTTAGTTTCTATTTGTGTGTCATTCTTGACATTTTCCATATAGTTGCGTACAAAGGTTACATTTAATAAATTAAATCTTAAGGTTGTACTTATATGTCTTTTGACACAAAAATTAGGTGTTTGAAAGTCAAAAACTCCAGTATCATGAAATTCCAGAATCAAGGTTGTTTGCATAATTTAGCTCTTTTTGTACATTCATTTTACATAATTTTAATTATGCAGTCACAGCTTTTTTGTTGTTGTTGTGGGTTTTTTTTTCCTTCACAATCTTTTCCTTAATCTCTGTACAGAATAACCTATTTTGGAGATTAATCAGGTTTGGGAACTGAGTGAGGCTGCCATACTGGATCTCACTCTATTTATTGCGTATTCAGAAAAAGCTTAAGAGGAAGAAAAAAAGAATAATTGTGCTTTTATTACCATGTGTGGCCATTACATATTTTGTTTTCTCCTCATTGGCTATTATGTAATTAATTTCCATACTTCATATATGTCAATCTTGTACTTCAACTCTGCTCTGAAAACATGTAGAATAATACTGTGAAACCAAGAACTGTGGCACCTAAGCAAAGTGGTGATTGTATGTACATAGCTCACAATATGTAGTGAAAGTGCAGTTCCTCATTAATTTAACACTCATTCTACAGATCTGAATTGCAAGCT